TGCTGAATCCCCCAAATTGCAGATGAGAGTCAAAACAATAACTGTTTTAAGCCATGAAGTATCTGGGGGTGATCTGTTACACAACAAGAGATAACCAGAACTTTGCGTCTTATAGCAGAGTAATGACTCTGGGGGCAGGTTAACAAACCAGGGTAAAATATTACGAGACATTCAGATACCATCATCAGTGGCGTCATAGGACGTCATCGTGGCATCTCAGTGGACTACAGTAAAGCCGGGGCAGACACGTCCCTCATATCTGAAATGATTTAGAGTTGAGAAGGTAAAATCAGGAGGCTGTGTCCGATTAAGAAGTGTTTGAAGAAAGCGGAATGGAAGGAGTGATGACCAAGAGACAGCAAATCAGATTTCTGGTCCTGGCTCGGTAAGAGATTCAGGAAGGGGCCTCTTACACGATTTGAATCACTTCTCTCTCCCTTTTGCCGTTCTGGTTCTGGTCCCCAGGCACACACGGTAAAAAGTGGACCACTAGCACAGTACCTGGTACAGAGCGGACTGTTGGTAAAAATCACCCTCTGGATCTACGTGGTTCATGGGAAAGAGAAAAGTCGAGAAGTTAATCTTTTAGAGTCTAGATAGTAAAGGCAAAAAAAGTAACTGTACAAACAACTCCGAGACTTCACGTAGAGTGATTTTTGAGACCTCAAGATTTCTAATTATCGAGTGGTAGTTATAAAACACTCAAATCAGATAAAATTGAGTGTGCTTTAATACTTCAAAGTCTGAGTTTCACCCCCAAAGTACAGTACTTTCAGCAGAAATCCAACACTGATTTTTTGGGGGGCTTCTGATCTACACTAACCAGGTCGCCCCCACAGCAAAGGATCGGGCTGCACCCAGATAACATGGAAAGGACACCACATTTGCTTTCAAAGTCCACTTCCTCTGGAAATGTCTCCTTTATTTATATGACACCAGCTCCTGAACAAAACCCATTATCACATTCTTCTGTTCTTAAAGCTACTGAAACTTCAACGGGACTGGCAAAATATAGCAACATTCAAACCTCAGCTGTACTATCTTTCTCCAGAGCCCGTGACATCCCCGTGGACGTCTGTATTCAACTCTGCAAAGAATTCTTTACCCGAAGGAGTCCCGGCATTAATACCACCTGGTACTCAGTCACAAATGTTTCTCCACTTACATTATCACCAAGGCCATGTAGTTGTAATTTCCCACCTGGAAGAAGGTACTCCCACCTCCTAAAAAGCTGACAACCACCACGACCTTCCCCACAGGTGTAACACCTCAGTATCTAGTAAATTTTTGCCTGACCCAAGGTCATCAAGATTTTCTCCCGTGTTTTCACCTAGAAAGTTTTAGTTCTAGGTTTTACATTTAGGTCTATGATCCATTTCAAGTTAAATCTGAAATGGTGGGGAGCATGGATGGAATTTTTTATTTTTTTGCAGCTGGCACCAAAATAATGCATCACTTGTTGAAATGCTTAAGTAGATCTTGGGGAAAAATATAAAAATGACCAGTAACCCTGTACGGTGCTAGACATTTAAGGAAGGGGAGAAATGACATCAACTTGAAATTAGTCAAAGAGCTGTGAGGATTCGGGCAGGTAGAAAAAGGAGCCTCTAGCTCACTGAGACACGGTGGCACTTACACTCCAGCCATGGCCTGGCTGCTGGACACCGTAGAGTCCCAGAACTACGAAGGAGCTGGAAGTTCGTCATCTTTGAGGCAAAAGAATTAGAGAAAGTGCAGCTGAATCCAGCACGTGCGCCGCGCAGTTCCCACGCTCTTTAAACCCTTTGCACAGCCACACCTTCTGGTTAACCCAGGGGTTTGTTTGCATCCTGGCTGCTCAGAAGAGTCATCTGGTCATCTGGGAGCTTTTACCACGCACCTCCCCCAGCCCGTGAGCTCGGACACCGCGCGGGGCAGGGCGGGGAAGCACCATTTTCAACCGCCGCAGGTGAATCCAGTGCGCAGCCGGGGGCGTGGGCGGAACCCTACAGAGCACGCGGGGTTTGAGATCAGCCTGGCAGACACGCGAAACCGGGGCGAAGACACCCAGGGCGGCCCTCCCCGCGTGCCCTGCAC